GTACCTCTCCCGCCTGCGCTCAAGGGAGTACAGTTTTAGGCTCTTTAGTCGGTCCCAATAGTTTAGATGTTTTACTGAGTGGATTCTAGCAGTAAAGGATCTCTGCACGCTCTCCAGATCAGTAATTTCTCCAGCTTTGAAAGGTGCTGTCATTGTGCAGCAGTACTCCACTCTAGAGAGCACAAGCGTTTTGAAAAGAATCATCATCGGTATAGCATCTCTAGTGTGAAAAGTTCTTGTTATCCAACCTGTCATTTTTCTTGCAGTTGTGACGGCTACTTTATTGTGTTCTTTAAAGGTAAGGTCTTCCGACATGAGTACACCCAGATCCTTTACATTGCCTTTTCGTTCTATGTTATGATTTGCCTGAGTTTTGTACGTGGTTTCCGTTTCTATATTTTCATTTTTTCCATAGCGCATGAGCTGGAACTTATCTTCGTTAAACACCATATTATTTTCTGTAGCCCATAGAAAGACCTGATCTACATCTGACTGGAGGTTCGCCGTGTCCTCTATGTTGCCTACTCTCATGAAGATCCTAGTGTCATCTGCAAAGGATGATACAGTGCTATATGTTGTGTTCTTGTCTATGTCCGAAATGAGGACGAGAAAAAGTACTGGAGCAAGCACAGTACCCTGGGGGACTGTCATTGGTATAAGTGTCATACACATGACACACATTTTGTATTTGTTATACTTTTGTGTGTGTGAGTTGTACAGTGTTATTATTGTCATTCCTGTGTGTGTGTGATACCGCGTATGTTGATATTCTTTCCCGACACCCGAGGTGGAGTAAGTCATTGTGTGTTGTGTCTGGGTCACGTCTGTTTATTATTATAACTTTGTCGTTCAGTGATTATTGTGTTGTGAGGTATTGTAGTGTTGTACTTGTGTGTTATCGTACAGTATTGAGTATAAGTGTTCATCTTGGTTAACTGTCTCTGTGACAAGTTATAAAGCAAAGTCGTAATTAAATTGTTCTTTGATTTGTTACTGTCTGTGTGACAGAAGGATTAACGTAATCAATCAATTATCTTTGATTTGATTGCAGTCCAAGTCACAGGTGTTAACGTAATTAATTAATTGATTGGAGGTTTTCTTAGTGACAAGTGTTCATTGTTTATTGTTATTGTTCTATGTTTGATCAATGTTTATTGCCACTGAAAGGATTAAGTGCAGTTGAGTCCAAGTATTCACTAGTGTTCAGTTAGTTCACATTGTTCACTATTGCCCATGCAAGAATGCTTGAGACTAGATCTTGTGATTACCAGACTGGTGGGACAGCGTCCTGCTGCAGCAGGTGCTGTTCAGCTGTTCAGTATGACCCAACCTTCACACTGTGCATCACTGAGTAGGACTCTTGTAGTTTCAGCACCCGAACCAGCCCCATCAAAAAAGGGCAGCAATCAATCCAGCTGGGTCAGTCCCATTGTGGAGAAAGCACTTTTAACGTTGTTTGAAGCCGAAGAAATATCTTGTGCTTATCCATGCCTCATTGCAGTTAGTGCTCCCTAAGCAGGGGATTTTCTTGAGCCAATCCCCTAATCTGCAACTGGAATACATCTCAAATCACATCAGTTGTGTACGGCAGTGGTGCTAGTCCTCGCTGCCACAATCCATAATATATACAAATGTTTTGCAGCAAAGTAGAAACCGACTGAAATAGGTTTCAACAGTCTCAATTGCAGACAGTTAAAGGGAAGGACCATAAGATAGAGTGGAGTCGACAATATCATTGATAAGAGCCTCTCCGTCCCCCACACGAATTCACTATTGCCCAGCAGAGACCGAACTCAGTCTTATAATATCCCATTAATTTGCTCAAACTGTTTGTCGCCTATATAGATTAACATTACTTGGGTTAAAAGATCGGTAGACAGCTAGTATGGAACTGCACGTGGTTATCTTACGGGTTTACATGCCCGTGCCACTTCTTGGGTGGCTTAATCTTGATCAATCATCAATAAAGCACTTGGGGTATCCACTCTAGTCGATGCTTCCATCAGCCTCAGCACAGATCAGGCTGAAGGAGGTACCACTCAAGTGCCTGACTGAAGATGTGAGGCAAAACTAAAGTTTATTAATTAGATGAAATCTTTCACCCGGAAGTTGCAACATTTTCAATACGAAGTTAATCAAAATCTTTTGGTGTGACTTTTTTTTGAAAAAACACTCAACAGTTGTTGAGTAGTTGAAGGAAGCTTTAACGCTGAGGTTATACAGGAATGTTTACGCTGTTAAGTACTATAACTTGTTTAATCTGTACTTAGGTACATATTTTTTTTTATGTTTAAGCAAACGTTTTTTCCGATGTAAACTTACCAGGGCAACTATAAAAAATATATAAATAAATAAATACTCTGTAGCTATATTGGAATGTTTGCAAGGACGTTATACCTAAGCGTTCTCTCTAACCATACATAAAGTTTTCAATACTATCTCCGGAGAAAAATATCGTTTAATATATATATATATATATATATATATATATATATATATATATATATATATATATATATATATATATATATATATATATATATATATATATGTCGTACCTAGTAGCCAGAATCATATATTATTTGCCTATAAGCCAAGTTTTCCTATATATATATTTTTTCTTATGAAATATAAAGCTATTTCATTATGTATGAGGTCAATTTTTTTTATTGGAGTTAAAATTAACGTAGATATATGACCGAACCTAACCAACCCTACCTAACCTAACCTAACCTATCTTTATAGGTTAGGTTTGGTTAGGTAGCCGAAAAAGTTAGGTTAGGTTAGGTAGGTTAGGTAGTCGAAAAACAATTAATTCATGAAAACTTGGCTTATTAGGCAAATTATATATATATATATATATATATATATATATATATATATATATATATATATATATATATATATATATATATATATATATATATATATATATATATAACAGAAATTGGTGAAAGGTTGTAATATGCCTTTTATTTTCAGGTTACAGATGAAAAGTTCCCTGTTAGGTTAGATAAGAACTCATTCGTGATGAGTTATACGGGAAAGCGCTCAATGTAACAATAACTTGTCAGTCTATATAGAGAAAAGTTCCTTATGATGGTGTATTGACCAATTTATTACACATGAAAGTTTCTTTAACGGTACATAAATCAGTCAAATTAATACAGAAAAAAAGCTCCGAGATAGGACACTGTTTGGTTATAAATAACAATAATAATAAAGTGTTGTCTGTGAGGTTACACAAAAGCGTTCACTGTGAGCGCGCCCCTGGCCTCTTCACGCTCTACTATGCTCGGCTTTGACATCACATGATAGCCATGTGATGGTCGCTTTGGCTCCTACACACTCCCCAGTTTGCCCAGCAACTCCCTCTCAATGCACCAACACTCAATATATTCTGCCTCGTTTTTGTTTTAAATTCCACATTCAGATTTTGTTAAAATTGTTTGTAGAGCTTTTGGAACGTCATTAAATGTTTTTTTCCTGATCCATAAACGTCGCGTGTGGTTTTCACGTCATGGCAGAATAATGTGATTCGGTTTGTATATATGGGGGTAGATGGTCGAAGAGCGGACTGGACCATAGCAATAAACATGAGAATGAAATAGCGTCTAGGGCAAATTATATGGATTTTTTCTCTCATTGGATTCGGTAAAGCATTACCCAATTATGATATAAACCTTTTTCTTTTTAATACAAATGGGTTCAAGAGTAGACGGATTCTGACTGCTGTTAGTAGGCTAAGAGTTTTCCATCCCTCTAAGATAGGCTCAACGTAAGCCGATCCCAACTTGATGCTCTCACTTTCACTCTTACTTACACTCTCTCACTCAAATCTGTTTTCTTTAGCAGCATATTTATTTATTTCAGTATATACACTTTCTTTAGCATATTTAAACAAGTATCTAATAAAGATCTCACAGACCTAACAAATTCACAAAGACCTGAAAGTTGTAGCATTAAATATTATGATAGATATCGTGAGGAGACATTCACATATGGGACTAATAGAACAAGAACCCAGCAATGTGATGTTATAGTGGCCAGAATACGCCTGGGATATAGACGTATCTGGCAGCTTTCTCAAAACCCAAATGTCGAGTACACAATGTGTCAACTTTGTGAAAGAGAAAACATGCACTCTCTTGAACATTATATTGTAGAATGTCCCATATTGACTGACTTTCGCCCTCCTGGGCTAAGGTATGCTGAACTATGTAATTACTATAAAAGTACTGGAACACTTGATGATATATTGGACTTGTACCCAAGATTAACCATGTAATGTATCAATTATACAATGCATGTATGTGATGTAACTATATAACGTAAAAGTAAAAGTATAACTTGTAAAAGCACCCTCATCACCTTCAGTAATTAAGTGCTTGCACAATAGTTTGTCTATCAGCTATCTCACCCTGTCAGAGTAAACGTGACAAATGTATGTGAATGCATGTGTGTGTGTATATATATATGTATATATATATATATATATATATATATATATATATATATATATATATATATATATATATATATATATATATATATATATATATATGTACGTATATGTGTGTGTATGTATGTATATGTATGTGTATAAAGTATATATGGAAGCTGATCAGAATTACATTTCACCTTTATAAATGTACATTAATGACACTACGTAAAAGACACATCGAACAGTTTATGTAGGGCATATGTAAATCTGTGTATCTATGTATTTACGTATGTAGGTTAGCTTAGGATTTTTAAAGCACCGAATCACCTTCTGTGGTTTATTGTTCTATAAACCCCTGAACTATATGTTTAACACACCTCTAACTCTGCCCATGGAGAGAAGAAAATGTATATATGCTGCTTAGCATTGTAAATGTGTGGCCACGTCTGTGGTAGAAAATATTAAAAAAAAAACTCTCTCACTCAATTATAAAAAAATGACATACGACAAGCTAGGAACAGGTCGTGAGAAACTCCCTCCTCAGATCCCTTATTTACTAACACCTTCTGTGGCTCTGGAACACTTTAGCAGGAATATTGTGGCTCTGGAACACATTAGCTGGAACATTGTGGCTCTGGAACACATTAGCTGGAACACTGTGGCTCTGGAACACATTAGCTGGAACATTGTGGCTCTGGAACACTTTAGCTGGAACACTGTGGCTCTGGAACACATTAGCTGGAACATTGTGGCTCTGGAACACTTTAACTGGAACACTGTGGCTCTGGAACACTTTAGCTGGAACATTGTGGCTCTGGAACACATTAGCTAGAACATTGTGGCTCTGGAACACTTTAGCTGGAACACTGTGGCTCTGGAACACTTTAGCAGAAACACTGTGTCTCTGGAACACTTTAGCTGGAACACTGTGGCTCTGGAACACTTTATTTGGAACACTGTTGCTCTGGAACACTTTATTTGGAACACTGTCACTCTGGAACACTTTAGCTGGAACACTGTGGCTCTGGAACTCTTTAGCTGAAATAATGTGGCTCTGGAACACTTTAGCTGGAACACTATGTCTCTGAAACACTTTAGCTGAAACACTGTGGCTCTTGATCACTCTAGCTGGAAGACTTTATCTGGAACACTACGGCTATGGAACACTGCCGCTGGAACACTGTGGCTCTGGAACACTTTATCTGGACCACTGTAGCTCTGGAACACTTTATCTGGAACACTGTGGCTCTGGAACACTTTAGCTTGAATATTGTGGCTCTGGAACACTTTAGCTGGGGCACTGGGGCTCTGAAAGACTTTAGCTGGAACACTGTTGATCATGAACACTTTAGCGAGGATCTTAATATCAATATCTCTCTTGTTTTGTTTCAATCATGAGCTGTGTCGCATTTCTATATTTTCAGAGATATGTAGCGTTGATTGACCCTCAGTTATACAACCCTACGGGTCAACCTGCCAATATCTATATCTATATATATATATATATATATATATATATATATATATATATATATATATATATATATATATATATATATATATATATCTATATCTATATATATATATATATATATATATATATATATATATATATATATATATATATATATGTATATATATATATAAATATATATATATAAATATATATAAATATATATTTATATATATATATATATATATATATATATATATATATATATATATATATATATATATATATATATATATATATATATATATATATATATATGTCGTACCTAGTAGCCAGAACGCACTTCTCAGCCTACTATTCAAAGCCCGATTTGCCTAATAAGCCAAGTTTTCATGAATTAATGTTTTTTCGTCTACCTAACCTACCTAACCTAACCTAACCTAACTTTTTAGGCTACCTAACCGAACCTAACCTATAGAGGTAGGTTAGGTTAGGTTAGGTAGGGTTGGTTAGGTTCGGTCATATATCTGCGTTAATTTTAATTCCAATAACAAAAAATTGACCTCATACATAATGAAATAGGTAGCTTTATCATTTCATAAGAAAAAAATTAGAGAAAATATAATAATTCAGGAAAACTTGGCTTATTAGGCAAATCGGGCCTTGCATAGTAGGCAGAGAAGTGAGTTCTGGCTACTAGGTACGACATATATATATATATATATATATATATATATATATATATATATATATATATATATATATATATATATATATATATATATATGTCGTACCTAGTAGCCAGAACGCACTTCTCAGCCTACTATGCAAGGCGTGATTTGCCTAATAAGCCAAGTTTTCCTGAATTAATATATTTTCTCTAATATTTTTCTTATGAAATGATAAAGCTACCCATTTCATTACGTATGAGGTAAATTTGTTTTTATTGTAGTTAAAATTAACGTAGATATATGACCGAACCTAACCAACCTTACCTAACCTAACCTAACCTAACCTATCTTTATAGGTTAGGTTAGGTTAGGTAGCCGAAAAAGTTAGGTTAGGTTAGGTTAGGTAGGTTAGGTAGTCGAAAAAACATTAATTCTTGAAAACTTGGCTTATTAGGCAAATCGGGCCTTGCCTAGTAGGCTGAGAAGTGCGTTCTGGCTACTAGGTACGACATATATATATATATATATATATATATATATATATATATATATATATATATATATATATATATATATATATATATATATATATATATATACTCCCAGAAGCAACGCAACTGGTATATATGAATGAAAACTCACACCCCAGAAGTGACTCGAACCCATACTCCCAGAAGCAACGCAACTGGTAACTACAGGGCGCCTTAATCCGCTTGACCATCACGGCCGTCAAAAGGAAGTGATAGCCGAGGCTATTTGAGCCACTTCCCCGACGGCAACTCGGATGGTAATCTTGGGCATAGCATTTCACCAAATCACCTCATTCTTTGGGGCACACGTGAGGAACACAAATGCGAACAAGCCTGAATGGTCCCCAGGACTATATGCGAATGAAAACTCACACCCCAGAAGTGACTCGAACCCATACTCCCAGAAGCAACGCAACTGGTAACTACAGGGCGCCTTAATCCGCTTGACCATCACGGCCGTCAAAAGGAAGTGATAGCCGAGGCTATTTGAGCCACTTCCCCGACGGCAACTCGGATGGTAATCTTGGGCATAGCATTTCACCAAATCACCTCATTCTTTGGGGCACACGTGAGGAACACAAATGCGAACAAGCCTGAATGGTCCCCAGGACTATATGCGAATGAAAACTCACACCCCAGAAGTGACTCGAACCCATACTCCCAGAAGCAACGCAACTGGTAACTACAGGGCGCCTTAATCCGCTTGACCATCACGGCCGTCAAAAGGAAGTGATAGCCGAGGCTATTTGAGCCACTTCCCCGACGGCAACTCAGATGGTAATCTTGGGCATAGCATTTCACCAAATCACCTCATTCTTTGGGGCACACGTGAGGAACACAAATGCGAACAAGCCTGAATGGTCCCCAGGACTATATGCGAATGAAAACTCACACCCCAGAAGTGACTCGAACCCATACTCCCAGAAGCAACGCAACTGGTAACTACAGGGCGCCTTAATCCGCTTGACCATCACGGCCGTCAAAAGGAAGTGATAGCCGAGGCTATTTGAGCCACTTCCCCGACGGCAACTCGGATGGTAATCTGGGGCATAGCATTTCACCAAATCACCTCATTCTTTGGGGCACACGTGAGGAACACAAGCGCGGATTAAGGCGCCCTGTAGTTACCAGTTGCGTTGCTTCTGGGAGTATGGGTTCGAGTCACTTCTGGGGTGTGAGTTTTCATTCGCATATAGTCCTGGGGACCATTCAGGCTTGTTCGCATTTGTGTTCCTCACGTGTGCCCCAAAGAATGAGGTGATTTGGTGAAATGCTATGCCCAAGATTACCATCCGAGTTGCCGTCGGGGAAGTGGCTCAAATAGCCTCGGCTATCACTTCCTTTTGACGGCCGTGATGGTCAAGCGGATTAAGGCACCCTGTAGTTACCAGTTGCGTTGCTTCTGGGAGTATGGGTTCGAGTCACTTCTGGGGTGTGAGTTTTCATTCGCATATAGTCCTGGGGACCATTCAGGCTTGTTCGCATTTGTGTTCCTCACGTGTGCCCCAAAGAATGAGGTGATTTGGTGAAATGCTATGCCCAAGATTACCATCCGAGTTGCCGTCGGGGAAGTGGCTCAAATAGCCTCAGCTATCACTTCCTTTTGACGGCCGTGATGGTCAAGCGGATTAAGGCGCCCTGTAGTTACCAGTTGCGTTGCTTCTGGGAGTATGGGTTCGAGTCACTTCTGGGGTGTGAGTTTTCATTCGCATATAGTCCTGGGGACCATTCAGGCTTGTTCGCATTTGTGTTCCTCACGTGTGCCCCAAAGAATGAGGTGATTTGGTGAAATGCTATGCCCAAGATTACCATCCGAGTTGCCGTCGGGGAAGTGGCTCAAATAGCCTCGGCTATCACTTCCTTTTGACGGCCGTGATGGTCAAGCGGATTAAGGCGCCCTGTAGTTACCAGTTGCGTTGCTTCTGGGAGTATGGGTTCGAGTCACTTCTGGGGTGTGAGTTTTCATTCGCATATAGTCCTGGGGACCATTCAGGCTTGTTCGCATTTGTGTTCCTCACGTGTGCCCCAAAGAATGAGGTGATTTGGTGAAATGCTATGCCCAAGATTACCATCCGAGTTGCCGTCGGGGAAGTGGCTCAAATAGCCTCGGCTATCACTTCCTTTTGACGGCCGTGATGGTCAAGCGGATTAAGGCGCCCTGTAGTTACCAGTTGCGTTGCTTCTGGGAGTATGGGTTCGAGTCACTTCTGGGGTGTGAGTTTTCATTCGCATATAGTCCTGGGGACCATTCAGGCTTGTTCGCATTTGTGTTCCTCATGTGTGCCCCAAAGAATGAGGTGATTTGGTGAAATGCTATGCCCAAGATTACCATCCGAGTTGCCGTCGGGGAAGTGGCTCAAATAGCCTCGGCTATCACTTCCTTTTGACGGCCGTGATGGTCAAGCGGATTAAGGCGCCCTGTAGTTACCAGTTGCGTTGCTTCTGGGAGTATGGGTTCGAGTCACTTCTGGGGTGTGAGTTTTCATTCGCATATAGTCCTGGGGACCATTCAGGCTTGTTCGCATATATATATATATATATATATATATATATATATATATATATATATATATATATATATATATATATATATATATATATATATATATATTAGTATATATTTTTTTAGCAGGTCTTTCTTGTTAAATATGCCCGAAAAAGTAGGATTAATAATTCTAAAACGAATTTTTCCAATATTTCTTATGTTTCTTTTTACTGTCGATGGTAATTGAAAAATCAGTTCTCCAAAATTCATTTTTATTTCTACTCTGACGCGACTCCTGAACGCGTTTCGTAATTACCTATGTTACGGTGCCCTCTCCTATCTCTTTCGTTTGCCTGCTTTAAGAGTCATATCAAATCTCCCTACTGATTCTCTGAGGTACAGGGAGTCCATTGATATATGTGGCAATCAGACCGGCTGCCAGTGAAGGGAGAAAGTTACATTATAAGTTGCAAGTAAGGGGAAATTGGCGCCCTGATATAAAATGAAAGAGTATTCCCTAATGCAGATATGACGTTTTGGAAGGGACACTAGCCGATCGCGGATTGGCCGGCTTAGGTCACGGGCGACCAATCAGGGCCCGCCGTGACATCACCGAGTGCCCCGGGCGGCGCCAACGTCAGAATTGACCTGACCGTGAAGGCGAGAGGACGCACCTCGGTCAGCTCTCAAGGATTGGAGGCTCTACAAGCCTTTCTTAGTGGATTAAAGCTGGCTATTGCAGCCCATCTTGTGTATTGGAGACCCCGCGCTTCTGGGAAGCAAAAAGGAACCAAGTTTATTGAGCAAAAGAGTGCCAAACTTGGAAAATATTCGGCGACGACGCTGGGCGGCGACGCTGGACGTTGAGGGCCTGGAAAGGTGTGGCGGGAGGCCTAGCTGTGACCGGGTCACATCCACTGAGGGTTTTGGAAGGACGACACCGTTCGTAGGACAAGGAGCAACGCCTTGTGGAAGGGGCGTGTGTGGGAAAATAGTAATTAGCTCAATGCCCATCGATGAACCAGGATTCGGGTAGCTGAATCTCAGGGATTAGAACGGCGACGACGCGAAGGTTCCACGACACCTGAGGACCTGTAGAACGTTCCTGGATCGTCAAGGATCGACTCAGGAAGCGTGGGAACCTCACACCATCGAGGGACAGGCGTCATGAGCCAGGAATGTCAGGTAGATCATTTTCCCTCCCATTACCCCTTGTGTGAGTAGGCTAGTTAGGCCACAATAGTTACTTATGAATGTGACAATAGGACATTAATACTTTAGTAGTAGAATAGGCTGCAAGGCAGCTTGTGTCCAGGACTGTCAGAGGGGACATTTTGTATGGATGGCAGGACAGTGAAGGAGAGGCGCCGACGTGGTGAAGAGGCCCTCCTGTGAGAGAGTGTGGGACTCCTGTCTTTCTGCCCAGTTGAAGGAGTGTTGGAGGTCGTGGAAGAAGAGGCTGACGATCTCCAGACTTATTATCCTCATTTTCATATTCATGAATTACTTGTGATTGTATGTGTGATCATGTAATTTGCATCAGTAAATTAACACTTTTATCGTTGTGTTTAAGTGTGCCTCCATTATAATATTTCTCTATGAGCATACACGAAGGTTATCATAGTACCACCTAGGGAACACTACGTTCTTTATAGAAGTTCTTATTGCCTGGAGAGTGGTAAAGACAGCACGGACTTATATAAAAGTGTACCCTTAGCCATCCGATCAGTATCAGTGCCTGAATGGTGGCAACTAGTAACGTGTTGGCTAGAGAGAGGTAAAGCCACACAGACCTTCCTGGGAGAGTACCGTGGGCCGACAGTCTAGTAGCAGATCTATGGGAGCAGCAATCTTCTGGCTACAAAAATATATAATACACCCACTGAACTGCATTGCTGGGGTGCAGATATAATAACCCAGCTGGCGACCTTGTTAAGAAGATAGAGAAGACAGGCGGGAAAGGAGTTCCTGCAACCTTTTTGTCTGGCAGGCAAGACTCTGGGAGGTTATGGTTATAAGGTAAGCCTGAGTCTTCCTTCACTCCTCCACAGGTCTAGGCCGGAACTGTTAACAGCAGTTTCCCTGTGTTTGACTGAAGGGCTTCCAGGGTGAATCAGTGGCACCCCCTTTTGTGGTGGAAGCAAAGACCTGCGGAGGTGGGCATTGTTGGTCCTCTCCTGTGTGACCAAGGAGACTCCGGTGAATCCCGGGAGTCGGAGGAGCTGAGTATTCGGCCTTTTGAGCCCCTAGCAGCTGAGTGCTAGCAGAGCCCCGGCCCACCCCCCGTGACACCTATTACATTTTCAAAGACTTTAGTTTTCACACACAACTGTAACCTGCAAACACGCCATTTGCTTCCATATTTATACTCGCATTTTGGTGAGGTGATATTGTACAACAGTTTTGGATGAGATGAACAAACTTTGACAAACACAAGACAGAACACGGAACAATGGATACTAATTGGATAAGAATGGAGGTAACTGCAAAGGGCCTATTGGCCCACACTTCTTCTCGATGCTTCTATATTGGTATGGAGTCTTGAAGTGGGTATAATATAGTTGTGCATTAATTGGCTGTTGATTGCTGGTGTTGACTTCTTGATGTGTAATGCCTCACAGATGTAGAGCCGCCTGCTATCGTTGTATCTATCGATGATTTCTTTGTTGTTTGTTAAGACTTCTCTGGTGATGGCCTGGTTGTGGGAAGAGATTGTATGTTACTTAATGGAGCCCTGTTATTTATGCATTGTTAATCGCCTGGAAAGAGATGTTGTTGTCATGCCTATATATTGTGTTCTTTTGGGCTTACAGTCCCAAAGTGAGCATTTAAAGGCATAGACGAAGTTGGTTTCCTTCAAAGCGTTCTGCTTGGTGTCTGGGGAATTTTTCATAAGTAGATTGACCGTTTTTTTTTT